TCAAGAGCTGGAATTAGGGATATTTTACTATTTAGCACTGGAATTAAAATAATTAATCAATTACCATTGAACTGTTCTTTGTATTAAACAAAGATTTTATGGCCAAATTGTCATCAATATTGAATTAAATGGTTGTAAAATGTAGGCAGGAATCGGGAGTTACCGTGCGTAGTTCTTTGCAAAGTAAACTTTGGGATATACATGTACTAGTAATTCTACAATAGCCTCTTAAAATGGATAAATTCACCTCCTCAATTCAAAATTATAGAAAGGCCTTTTTATATGTACATGTTTTAAATCACATATATTTATTGATGAAAAATTTATTATTTCAAGAAAACCCAAAACATAAAAAAAAAAAAACCTGATGATATTTCATGAAACTTTTATTTCATCTTTTTTCTTCTTGTGTTTTTTCTTCTTTTTCTTTGCTGCTGTCTCTTCTTTCACTATAAGTATTGTCTTTTCTTTTTTATTATGAGTCCTAATGTAAGGAGATTTACTTTCTTTCATAATCTGCTCAACAGATACGGCTGCATCTGCTAATTTGCTCTCTTCATCTGAACTAAAGAGTGAAAATAACATAGTTAAAGTAAAATATATTTTAAATTTCATTTGAATGTACTGAGCATATTCACATGTAAGGATCTTGTTTTCTTAATTTTTACCAAGTATTAACTTTAATGAGATCGACAGATAAATTTAACAGGTTGTGAAAATATTCACTAGACTTGGGTTTTAAGTGTTTTGTCACCTAAGCATTAGTAAGCAACTTGAACAATCTAAAATACTCTCAAATCCTTTTACATGGACATCTGGTATACAGTCAAACCTCGTTATCTTGAACTTGATGGGACCAAGAAAATACTCAGAAATATCCGAGGATTAGATCATTAGAGATACCCAAGGTAAAATACTTAAAAGAAAAAGTGGTTTGGACTTCCAAATCACTTCAACATATCCAAAGTATTTGAGATAACCATGTTCATGATACAGTTCTCAACTGTATATTCATATATAGAGATCCTTTTAAGTCCACCCTGCTACCTTTGTCAGAGATCCTCTTTGATTTTTCTGCTATGGAGATTTAAAAAGTAAATTGTAAAGAAGGAAAATAATGCTACATGTTATTAAATCCTACCTGTCACTGCTGCTGTCAAGTTTCCTCCTCTTGACATTGGCTGGCCTTTGTTTGGCAGAGGACGTAGGTACCTCCTCATCAACCTCTCTTATCAAGGTGCTGGATGTAGAGAATAGCTTGATACCTACAATAACAAGAGGCCCATGGGCCACATCGCTCACCTGAGTAACTTTGGCCATGCTGTTCTTTACCAGATTTCCCCCCTTTTAATATACCTATTGTGGCCCCGCCCTACCCCTGGGGGTCATGATTTGAACAATTTAGAATCTACACTACCTCAGGATGCTTCCAAATAAGTTTCAGCTTTATTGGTCCAGTGATTCTTGAGAAGAAGATTTTTAAAGATTTTTCTTTTATATTTCAATGTAAAACTTGGGTTCCCTATTGTGTCCCGCCCTACCCCCGGAAGTCATGATTTGAACAATGGATGCTTCCACTTAAGTTTCAGCTTTTCTGGCCCAGTGGTTCTTGAGAAGAAGATTTTTTAATGACCCCACCCTATTTTTGTCTTTTCTTGATTATCTCCCCTTGTAAGGGGACTTGGCCCTTTATTTTAACAATTTACACTCTCCTTCACCCAAACATACTTTGTACCAAGTTTGGTTAAAATTGGCCCAGTGGTTCTTGAGAAGAAGTTGAAAATGTGAAAAGTTTACAGACGGACGGACAGAGAGACGGACGACGGACAACAGGTGATCAGAAAAGCTCACTTGAGCTTTCAGCTCAGGTGAGCTAACAATGGGAGAAACAATTGCTGCAGAATATATCTTTTTCTGGCTTGAATATCTGGCCATCTTTAAAAGATTGTTTTGGTTGCCCTCTTCCGACCGACTGGCTAAAAATGACCTGACTCAAAACTTTCTAATCCCCAGGAGGCAATTATTTTTTTTATGCATTCCAGAAAATATATTTTGAAAATTCAGCATTGATGTTGAAATTTTCTGGGGTAAAAAAAATTCTCACCTACCTACCAACCCAATTTTTTTTTCATCCGGAATCAGGAGAGGGCAAACAAACTTTATTTTAAAGTTGGCCTCAGGGACCAAGCAGAACTAACACCCCCCCCCCCTTCAGAATTTTACTGTTGAGGCCTTCTCTTCATTAAATTCCCCTCTTTTAGTACTTTACTACTATTTTATTGATTTGAAAGGATCTTGCCTATTCTCAAAACATGGAGGAAAAGAAAAATAAAAAAAATATATAATTATTTACCTGTATCTTCCTCATTGATTTCGATTTTCTTTATTTCTTCACCTTTATCTTTGAGACTTCTACAAAAAATACATGTAGATAATTTATGAAAAGTTCCCCCATGCATATTACTGGTACATCCTAAATAAAGCTAAAAATAGAGCTATAAGTACATAGGCCAGGAAAATAAAGACCCTGGTGCAAAAAATACATGTATTACATGAAATGTTCCAGCATCCAAACAGTATTGTCAAAATTTTAAACATTCAGTCAAGCATGAAGGTAAACAAACTAATAAAATTTTAAATGCAGTGTAAGAAAAATGGCTAAATCATTCCATTCAGTGAACATTTAGATTAGAAACAAAAGGTTTCCAGTTACCTGTCAAAGGGAAATTAATGTATAACCCTATAAAGAATCTATAATTAGTACACTTTCTTTATATATTTACTCTAATCAAATTTTGTCAAAATTTATACAAGTAGCTGATCAAACCACTGAGCAAAGTGCTCTGCAGGGAAAAACTTAAAGTCTTTACCTATCTAAGAGTTCAGACAACTTTTTGGCTACAAAATTTCTAAATTCTGGTGTTGTATTCATTGGATTATTTTCAGGCACGGGAGAAGAAGCTCTGAAATATGAATTGAACTTCATAACAGCACATACATTACATGGATTGGGTTTCAAATTCTGCAAAGATGATAACAACAAATAAGAGGCCCATGGGCCACAATGCACACCTGAGTCACACTGGCCCTGCTGTTATTCCGAGGAAGATTTTATGAGACTTTTTTCTCCCTTTATTCCAATGAAAATTTTTGACTCCATATTGTGGCCACTACATGTACCTAGCCTCAAGGGGTTATAATTTAACCAGCTTGAATCATCCCAATACCAAGATGCTAGATTATTTATAGTTCTGAGAAGATTTTTTTTCCATTACACTAGCATTGTGAAAAAAGTCTGACCTCTGATTTTAGTCCTACACAAACCCTTAGGTCTATAAATAACTATAACTTGAATTTAAAAAAAATGAATAATAGAACTAAGAAAAGTTTACTTACTGATATGATAAATTATGGCTTGCTACTCTTGAAAAAGATTTGTTCCTTTACACATTTCCTTGAAAAACTCTGATCCCCTATCATAGCCCCACCCTAACCTGGGGGCCCTGATCTATATAAACTTGAAGCTACACTATCTGCAGATGCTTGCAATTTATCATGACCCTCCTGTACTTCAGAAGACTTCTGAAGATTTTTTTCCCCTATATAACTTTGATCTATTTTGCCCCATTGAGAGCATGATTTGATCAAAGTTAAAACTATATCATCTGAGGACTCTTCCATATTAATATGACAAATCATGGCCCTGTTGTGCTTCATCAGAAGACTTTAAAAGTTCCCTATATATAATGGTAACCATGTTAAATGTAACCCTCCCCTACCCCTGGGGGAGGGGCATAGTTGAAATCAATGAAATGATTCAGATTGAAAAAAAACTTCCATATGAATATGATTATCATAACCCCCCCCCCCCCCAATTTTGAACAAAATTGAATGTACACTACCTGAGGATATATAGGAACATGTTGAGGATTAATTCATGCACAGAAAAGTTTTTGTACATAAAAACATAAAAAATAGTCAGTAGATAATAAATAAATATATTTTTTATTGATTGGATTTGCTTCAGAACGGTTACATTGATGAAATCAATAATGGAATACCTTTGGGATGGTAGCAATACATTTTCCTGGCTCCTTGTTTCTTTTCCTGAGAAAAAAAAGTAGCTTCTGTATTTAAAATATTAGAATGTAATGCATTTAATGATATAACGTTCAATTAGTATTACGGATATGAAAATTTCATGGAAACCACCCTTTTTGTGAATCTCAATCACCGATCACTGTGCAAAATTTAGGAACAAATGCTTGTATGTCATTTTAGCATGCCATGTTCTGAAAATCACTCAAAATGTACATGCTTATGATAATTTAGAGGAAATTCGAGTCTTACACATTGATACCTTTTTACTGTTTTATGTAAAATAATAATTGTCATAGAAATTTAGACAATGAAAACTAACTTTTCGTCTCTCTTACGATTAATTCAACACCTATAGCTGCCTCTTTTAGTCGCTGATTTTCAATTTCATCGGTTGAACTATCTGAATCGGACTCGTCTTCCATTTTATTCATACAATACCAAATGTTAAAAAAAGAAGAAAATTGACAATAAACCATTCATTATCATGTTTATGCGATTGTTTTCATATATTGAATATAAAAAAGAAAAAAAATCTCTTTTATCTTCATGTATCATCCACAAATTTGCAAAAAAAATCTTTTTCGATTTGTTAATTTTTAAATACTAGATTTGGATTCAAAATGAGATCTGAAAGTAGTCCCAAAATTATTTATACATGCGCGATAGGAGAAATGAAAATTTAGGAGGAGTTTTAACCATTATGTTGCAGAATAAGTTGTCTAATTTTGTATAACTCAAATAAATGTTTTTCTTATTGAGATTTCATAGCGAGGTGTACTCTATCGATGACACGTGGATGAATCTTTGTATAAACAGGAAATGCTGTGATTCGGCTACATGAGGCTGTGTATGGAACTGAAGATAAATATAGATAATTTTTAGAAATCTATACATATTAATTCAGTAATGCTCAGAACTATGAATGCAAATACTTAAACTGTGAAATTGCATCTATTCAGAATGATGAATTTGCCTGGACATCGTGAAGTAAGGGAGGACGTTCTGGATTCCATGTAGTCATTTTTCGCGCACTATTGAGAAAGGAATATTGCGTTATTACATCGGAAAAAGACCAAGAAAATGACCAGCAATAGTTATAACACACTAAGCCGTGCACAATTAAGTTTTGAATACTTGCACACAAATTCGTAAGTTGCCTTGTCATAACATTGCTAATGTAATAAATATTGACTTAAAAATGTACCATGTACTAGGCCTATAGCATTTATTGTAACTAATGCACATGTTAAGAGCTCAGTGCTATATAATGTAAAATGTCATATTTTCAATTTGATGTATTGATCACTTTTCCCATTATATCTTAAAAAATGAGCGCAATTAAAAGTTGTTACTTGCAAACACCAAGTTTCCAGCAGAGTATGATCTGTATTTCTAGTATCTATTGATATTTTTATATGAAAAAGAGTCAACTCGTACCCAAACCGACTCGTACCCGAACCGACTCGTACCCAAAGAGTCAACTCATACCAAAAACTGTTATTTACATATACAGTGTTATACTACATACAAAGACATACTACAGATTATTTAGTATACACATAATTTGTCTGTGCTGTTTGTAATTGCATAAATCATGCTCGTTGTTTGTGATGCCTGAAAGGGCCCTGATAAATCTATTAGGCCCTATCTATATCTTTATTATGCCAAGTTGAATTTTTCAAACAAATTTAAATTAATTGTCATTATTTTATGAAATATAAGTAGTGTAACTAAATTGGAATAATAAATCAGATATCTTTATGAAAATATATCACAAAGTGAAATATTTTCATTATTTATTTTATGACATCAGTTTTGGGTACGAGTTGACTCTTTGGGTATGACTCGGTTTGGGTAAGAGTCAGAATGGGTACGAGTTGACTGGATACCAAAAAGACAACTTCATATGAACTGTTAGGATGGGAGTTGGGGACATGCCCCAAACAATTTTGCCAGTGGGTACTTTGTTAGAGAAAGCTAATTTACAGTCGTACCCCCTCAACATGCTCAATAATTTCGCCAGTATTATATACATGTACTATACAATAGAAATCGAAGTTAATTTGTATCCCATTTGGGAGATTGGTCCCAACCAGTCTAATGTCCTTTTGTTCTGGTATTATTTTCTCCTTTAATTTTATGAGCCTTATAATAGTGTTAATATGAATGAACAGAAAAAAATTGCTTTAAATATCTGTCTTAATGAATCTAAGATTGAAATTTTATCTGAAAAATTATGAAATTAAATAACATTTCAGAACAACTCATGAGTTTTTGTTTGGTGCACTTGCTGAATTGGTTGATAATGCAAGGTAAGTACTTGTGTAACATTTGCTACAATGAAAATCTTCTAATTTTCCAATCGTCAAGTTCAACATGTATTTATTTTTTATGGTGTTTAACATTGTTTAAGTTACATGAATTAAAATGATTTGATTGCTTTACAAAAAAAAATCCCCTTTTTTTGTAGAGATGCTAATGCAACCAGAATGGACATATTTTCAGGTTTGCACTCTATTTGCCATTCTTTGCCAAACTTTATTCCAAAGGCTATTTGTATTTACTAACTATGATATTGAACAATTGCTAGTCAACCTCAGCAGAAATAATTGTGCCTATAGATATGATAAATTTGCTAAATATCCAAGGAAATGAGCATTGATCATTTTGATAGGGAATCAAATGCATGTATTATATATATTTGAAAAAAAAACTTGAGGAAAATCTAATTTTGCCATGAAAATTGATTTTTTAACCAGACTTAATGGTGATTATATATAAACTGTATTCTGCATTGGAAAGAACTCTTAATTACAGAACCAGATGAAAGCTTACGAGGAGGATACATGTTATTTTTTGTGGATAATGGAGAAGGAATGGATCCAAGTAAGCTTTTACAAAGAATTTCATTGTAAACATTGAAGTTTTATTGGTTTGAACATATCTTGTAAATGTTTAATATTATTGAAAATATTTGTACAATACGTTTCCTCACTTTCCTGATCAAATATTTCCAAGCAACATCTCTGAAATCTAATTATTTTTAATGTAATTTCAATTATTTTAATTTATTTTGGAAATTATGCAATTAATGCAAGATTTTAATAACTTCAAGGATTTCCTCTTTTGAAGAGTTTGAAAATAATTTTTTTTTTTTCGATGTTTACAGATGAGACAGCAGATATCATCACATTTGGAAGATCCACCAAGAGATCTTTGGATGAGTCACACATTGGCATGTATGGAAATGGATTGAAATCGTAAGTAGGAAGACAAATAAGCTTATTTAAATGGTTGCTCCTTAATCTCAATATATTATTTTCCTATGCAAAATTGTAACGATGAAGGAAGCATCCATATGTGTGCATGTACAGTAAAGAATGATCATTGCAAAGTGCCAGGGATGAACACTTTAAAATGAGTTTTGATTCATTAAAAATGTAATTTGTTATATCCAGTAAGTGAATAATACATTTTTAAACTACAGGGAATAAAAATCACTTCACTGTAAAAGCTTTAATTCATTATAAGCATGTTAGCTGTAACCATGTTTCACAGTTGTGGAATCACTTTTACAAGAGGTTTATTTGATGAAAGTCTTATTTATCTTTGTTTATTTCAGCGGTTCCATGAGGATTGGTAATGACCTCATTCTTTTCACGAAGAAGGGAGCAACGATGACTTGTCTCTTTTTGTCCCGATCATTTCATGAAGAGGAACACATTGATGAAGTGAGCATTAAATTTTTAAAAAATAAATTGTGTATATATTTTATTTCTAGAAATTTTTGAAATATTTTAAGAATTTCCAGTTCCATATGGAATATCTACTTCAATCATTTGAGCAGTGTTTCATTTTTGGCCTGCATCCTGGGTAAATTATTAATTTTTGCTCAGGATGTATGATTTCAATAAATATGCATCCCAGTGGAGAAATTATATAGTTATTATAGATATTATAGAAAGACAAATTGATTATTTTAGTTTATTTCAGTATAATCTAATTCAAAAATTGGTTGATTGCATCATATCCACATGATAAGCTACATGTATATGCACAAGCAATTTTGGCACCTTGGTGTTAAATTGCAGTTAACATGCAATTTAACAGAAAATATTTGAAAGTCTAGGTAGCATAGTTTATGTAGTCTACTGTGGAAATTTTAAAATTTCTGAAGCATATATTCTGTTACATGTATCATTTTAATTTTTTCTTTAGAAGCTGATAAGTATTGATTTTTATTTTTTCTATTTTTCATTTGATTTAAACAGCTGGTATGCTTCTGTGCATTTTATGTTTGTGCATTTTATGCCTGATATAATATGTGAGACTGTATTTACAATCTAAAAATGGACCCAAGGTACATAGTTGATAGTGTATTATTTTCGTGCCACAAAACCACATATTCTTACTTCCGATTGATAATATGAACCACCCAAAGCTACAATAGAACATTTGGCACTTTTATGTAATGTGTTATAGTTTGCCAGAATTTCCTCTGTAATATCTGAATAGATGTACACTTGTATCTGGACGCTTTGTTGTCATTAAGAGAGACTTATTGTCAAAGGTCAAAGGTGTCCCTTGGACCCATGGTAACCATTTTCAATAATCACTGTGTTGTCATTAAGAGACACTCATTGTTGTCGTTAAAAGGTTTCCCTTGGACCCATGATAACCATTTTCAATAATCACTGTAAATGAGCAACATGAAGTCAAATTAATAATTCTTGAATTGCTCAGTAGGCACAGGATTGGGAAATTATAATAACAGTATGACTTTGAATTTATGCGTTATTTTTATTGGCAGGTTATTGTGCCAATTCCATCATTTGAAACAAATACCAGAAATACACTGGTAACAGGTGCCAAAGCAAAGGAAAAGGTGAGAATTGAAAAATATAATAAACTGATTCCATTTAATACATGCAGATGGGCTCAAATAAATTTCCATTAAATGATTTGGATTGAATATTTAAAAATCTCATTCATACCAAAATAATATTTTTTTGTAATAATTGATGTTAATGTATCCAGTATAAAGGGATTTATAGGGTTTTCTTGCTTAATGTTCTTTATGAATTGATATCTTTGTATACGTACATTCTCTTTTGTTTGTTGCAGCATAAACTAGAAATGGACATCATTCTAAAGTACTCTCCTTTCAAGACAGAGGATGAATTCTTTGCCCAGTTTGATAAAATTGAGGGCAACACAGGAACTTGTGTTATAGTGTATAATGTGAAACTATTAGACAGTGGAGATCCAGAATTAGATGTCCTCTCAGATCCAACGGATATTCTTCTAGCAAATCCAGAATCCGACTTTGACTCAGATGAGGGGTATAAAAATTTGTTTTATTTTAGGGACATCAGTTCCAAAATAAAGGCACTCTTGCCTATTCATTTTCTAGTTTTAGTCAGACATGATCCTTTAAATTTTCCTGAATGATCACTTAAGATATCCTTTAGCAATTAACTGATCAGAAATGGTGAAAAAAAATTCCATCAGGTCTGTATAAGAAGAGTAAATTCAGTCTAATATCTGTGTTTATTATGATTTTAAGAAAAAATATAAATTAAGACCTGAAGTTCAAGCTTTTTTTTTAAAGGCACTTTGCAGTGGTATTAAATAAAATAGCTTTTAAAAAATCTCTTTTTTTGTCCTTCAGGAATAAAATATTCTGTGTCTGTGTTGTCATGATAATCATATCTTTGTTTTCTCTTATCTACAGATTAATGCCAGAAAGAAAATCATTTCGAGCATATACAGCAATATTATATGTGGATCCTAGAATGAAAATTTACATACAGGGCAAAAAAGTTCGGACGAAAAAGCTAGCATGTTGTTTATATAAACCCAAAATGTACAAATATTCTTCAAATCGATTCAAAGCTCGATCAGAGATGGAACACCAAAAAGCCAAGGAAGAGGCCAAGCAAGCGGAATCTAAATCTCGAGAGGCAGAGAGCAAAGCCAAGTTAGTAGATTAGTCAAATACTGGTACAGTGTATAAGAGTTAGAACAAGAATCACTTGGCCAGAAAAGATGAAACTGATTTGAAAGCTTCATTAATAAGTGTACATTCAACTTTCTTCAAACCGCCAGGTAGGACGGGGCCAAAATGGGTGATCAAAAGTTTCCATATGAAATCCGAATACATAGGAAAAGTTTTCTGTAGAACAGCAAAGCCATGATTATTAGTCATATTAAATGGAAACATCATCAGGTAGTGAATATTCATGTTTGTTCAAATCGAGACCCAGGGTAGGGTAAGGCTACAATGGCTGATCAGAGCCAGGGGGTAGGGTTGGGTCAAATTATGTGATCAAAGTTTTGCATTGGAATATATAGGGACAAAATCTGATGAAGAGCCATAGTGACTTAGGTGAGCACTGTAGCCTATGAGCTTCTTGATTTTATTTCAACTGCATTTATGATATTATCAATCATTATATCTGAGGCAAAAATGTTGGCTGCCATTTCATTCATGAAATCTTTATTTACTAGAGTTTGTACCATTAACTTTTTATGATCATCTGTCTGTGCAATCATATCTGGGTCTTAGATATCATTATCATTTTAAAAAGTCCATTACAGTTTTTTTTTTCTCTATTAAGGATTGTAATTCTTTATATTTTAATGATGCAATCCATAGCAAATTTATTTTTGTCATTAAATCATGTTATTGGAGTAGTTTGTTAAAATTATAGGTATTGATATAGGTACATGTCTGTGAAGTAGATGGTTAGAAATCTGAGCTTTACAAAATGATTTTCCTGTCTACTGTTCACAGGTTTCTTGAAAACAAATACGGGGATTCAGTTACCAAAGCCCAGAGGGTAAGTTGTAACTTTGTGAGGCGGATAAAGATTGTATCTTTGAACAGCTGTTGTTTATAAACAGAGGAAGTATTCTCTTAAGTTAAAACTAACCTGTAAACCTTTGACATTTTTGTACTGATATTGTATTATCAAGAAGAAAATTACTTCCTGGAGTAGATGATCATGGAGTGTAATCTATAAAGGTAGTTTTATCATGACAGAAGAGGTGTTTTGTCCTTGCATTGGTTTTCACATTACAGCCATATGTTACCATATACAATACAAATAATTTAGTATTGGTTACATGAGTCATTGACATTAGACTTTGTTGGTATTTTGATGAGTTTTTTTTTTAAGTTGGATGCACCATTTGATAACCAGCCTATCTCCATTCGTTACAGTTAATGTAATGAATGGAGAAACCCTGAAACTTTAAGTCAAGAAAATGTACAAAGAAAGTATGGAGTATAGAGTACATATTGGTACATTAAATAATTATCAAATGGGCATAAACCTTAGTATGTTAAAATATTTACATGTATTTCATATAAAATGGGGTTGATGTTGGAATATCTTTTCTTTAATACAGACAGAGTTAAGAAAGGCACAGGAGCATGCAGCAGAGATGAAGAGAGATGCTCTTCTCAAGAAGCAGGTAGCAGAAAGAAAGAGCAAGTGAGTAATCAAGAAAAAGAAATAGGTTAAGAGATGTAAATGAATGTTCCAAATTGAGAACCTCTGCCCCTCTGCAGGGTAAAATTTTTGGAGTAGCTCTGTCCTCATGTAACTACAAGTCCTACCCAAACCAAACTTACATGGATGTTGATCTTGGGATGCAAACTAACATGAAAAAAAAAAATTGGTGAAAGATTTGCCTTACTAGTAGATAACATTCTTCAAGGTGAGCTTCGTATTCTTCAATTATTTATGTTTCTCTCTCTGAAGAGTGTCATGGTTGTAATTCGAGGTTGTTATTATGTAATCATATGACTGGTTTTGGAAGAGAAGGGGGTGTTTTGTTTGTCAAAAGAATATGTTTGATTTGAAATGATTTAAAATTACATATATGAACCATGTACGTTTCAATTTAGGACATCACCAATAGTTATGAATTTTTTTTGTAGAGCTCTTAAAGATCCAAAACTTCTAAACTTTATTTTTGGAATCAACTTGGAGAACCGAGCCCATGATGGGGTATTTGTGTACAACTGCAGTCGACTCATCAAGATGTACGAGAAAGTTGGACCGCAGACAGAAGGTGGAGTGTAAGTAAAAGTGCATTGGGGGAGTGCCCAAGCTTATAGGGGAGTGGTCAGGCTGCCAGGGGGAGTGGCCAGGTTGTAGTACTGTAGCAGTGTTGCTGGCAAAACAGACACTTGGGGATCTCACGGTCCATCAATTATCTGTCTGGAAGGAACCATAAAAATTTAAAAAAAAATTATGTTACTGTATATAGGGAATTTTTGTTCGGTTTTATTTCCGCCTTTGTAACAAATGCGACAACTTCAAATGGGATGAAATCAAAGTAAACATAGTTATTTCTTAAATACAATTGTGTATGGACAGATTTAAAATTGAACAAAATGTAAGGCCCTGTATATAGTAGTAATTATAAGATTCAAACATCACATGGTAAGTTTTATGTAAATTAATGTGTCAGGATCAATCTAATATCCTTTGAATGGGCAAATTGTGTATAAAACATATCAGAATAACCAAATCCAAGTTAATTTATTTTTTTTAGTATAAATGTAAATAAATCAACATAAGTGTACTATACTTCTCACAAATCTGTCAGAATTGCTTCATCATCAGGATCTTTCATAGGCTAATATCTTCTGAAAAAGAGCAGAAAAAAATGCACAGAGCAAATGATTTTTCTTGGTCTTAAAAATAAGAATGCAAGAATTACTGAATTAATGAGCTATCAGCAGATATGTATAGTTTAATTTTGAACTAATAATTTATACATGTACCTTAAAATGAACATACATTCAAACTTTGTTATCTTGAACTCAGTGGGACCAAGAAAAAACTTTGAGATATCCGAGGATTTCAGATATCCAAGGTAAAATACTTAAAGGAAAAGGGGTTGAGACTTCCAAATCACTTTGACATATCCATGGTATTTGAGATATCAGTGTTCGAGATACCAAAGTCCAACTGTATTAATTGGACAGAGTGCTAGTCTTTGGTAATAGAATTTTAAGTAAGCAAGGAAACTTGGTCATCTTCTGTTAACATGATGGTTAAACTTCATTATCTTGAACACTGGTATCTCTAGTACCATGGATATGTTGAAGTGATTTGGAAGTCCCATCCACTTATTCTTGTAAGTATTTTACCCTTGATAATCCAAATCCACAAATATCTCAAAGTGTTTTTCTCGGTTCCATAAAGTTTAAGATAATGAGGTTTGACTCTATGTATTGAAAAATCCCTTTTATCTCTTTTAAAGCTTTTATTGTATATTGTTCCTGATAAGAATTTCAAAAATCGCAATTTTAAAAATATAATTACCTTCACTTAATTATAAAATGTCATTGTGATATTTGATATTTCTCTGGAGTGTTCTTTGAACACTAGAGTTGAGATTAGCTGTGTATTTTAATGTTTGGCTTTGGTTTGGGATGTCAGATGAGATTTAAGGTATACCAGTATGTGAAATAGCTTCATTTTGCTAAAATTTAATGTCTTTAGCGAATCTTCATTAGAGTAATAACCAAAGCATGTATTGCTCAGAATGTATGCATGGTTTTGAAAACATGCAGAAAGCTTAATTTGTCATTCCTCTTTGATTTTTTGTATCATTTCAATCATAGCATCTTGTTTATGCATGGTACTAAAATCATGCAGTGATCCAAACATATCTTCTGCAATTACTCAGCATCTAGTACTTGTTTTACCATTACCCTGTTCGATAAATTAACCCTCATCCTGGTTTCATTATTTATGCCTTCTTAGTGGAAAAACTTCACCTCTGCGCAGGTATGTAGCATGTTTTGTGGGCTGAATATGGCTTCGATTAATTGGCATGGGATAGAGACTTTTATATAAATGAAACATACTAAAAATGTGTATGGTATAGAAAGGACTGGGCATTGCTGAAAAATTTGTAGTATATTACATGTATAATATTTTGAGTTGATAAAAATATTCAGTAGGAAAAAAAAACAAATCTATGTACATTATTTATTTATGTCTGTGATCTATCAAATGGGATATTTTTTAGTTGGTTTAACTTGACTTTTTGCCCATCTCAAAGTTAATCGTATATATCATTTTGACATGTTGTTAATAATTATTGGTACAATATAATTCAGTATACCATCTACTTGTAAATTCAGATATCAACATACAAAAATATCATTATTTCAAAATATACATGTATATCATAATTTTATCACAGTACACCAGAATATCAGTATTATTGCCCAGCCCTAGTTAAAAAAGTTATGTAAAATAAATCTTTTGAATGATTATATATAAATTTCTGGAAGGTAAAGGGAAATGAAAGTTAATGAGTCATTGGATAGGAAGCATGTATAAAATTGCCTTTGTCCTTTGCTTTCTTTCATCATCATTTTTATGTATGATCTAATTCTTTGACTTAAATATTGTTCACTGACAACATCTTTATTTTTGATGCAGCTAAAATGATATGTGTTAGGATAGTGGCTTTGCTTTTATGCTCCATGCAGGTGTCTGCCATTTGTATGAACATGTAAATGACTTTTTTAAGTCATTTTTTCTCTGTTGTTGACAGATACTGCAGTGGGGTTGTAGGGGTGGTTGATATCCCATATTTGGTGCTGGAACCCACACACAACAAGCAGGACTTTGCAGATGCCAAAGAATATCGACACCTACTGAAGGCCATGGGGGAACACATGGTCCAGTATTGGAAGGACATTGGTGTTGGTCAGTTTCATAAAATTTTTAAGATAGATAGTGGTTGATATTTATAATCTGGCAACCTAATGATGCTAAGGGCTATTCCAGTAGAAAAATCTACCCGACCCCTGGACGGCCAGAAATTTTATGCTATCTTTGGGGTGCCTATGAATAAATCAATTCTGTGGTAGGTAAATGGATAATTTTGTCCCCACTCTGCAGGTGCCTTATAGTCATGATAGTGATCAGTCTTTCCATCTGTCCATTTGATATCTTTTATCCAGAGCATATTTTCTTTCCCCATGACCCAGTCTGACTCAGACTTCACCCATAGAGTCCCTGAGGGTAGAGCATGTGCAGTACCCTTGAACCAATTTTTTTGTCCAGAGCATATTTTCTCTCCCCTTAACTTAGCCTGGTTTAAATTTCACCCATAGAGTGCCAGTGGGTATCCAGTGATTCTAGGGCACATGTTAAGAAACTTATTTTAAAACCTTTGTCTGGAGCATATTTTCTATTCCTTGCCCTTCCAAGCTCAAACTTTACCCATAGAAAACCTGTAAGAAGAGCACGTAGAGTGAACTTCTGTCAAGTTTCTAGGTCAGTGGTCAAGGTCATAATATATATTCTGTGAAAAATCCTTGTGTGTAATACATTTTTCTCCCTTTGGCCCTTCCTAGTGCAAAATTCACTCTTAGACTGGGTAGAGGATGTGCAGTGACCTGAATGAATTTTTTTAGATTAAAGTTTTAAGTTCAAGAAATCCCTTTTCTGTGCATATTTTCTCTCCCCTTGACCCTTATTGGCTCAAAGTTCACCAATAGAGTGGGTAGAGGGTGTGCAGTGATCTTAGGCCTAATTTCTTTCTCCGTAATACTGAAACAAAATTTTCCTAAGTTCAAAATGGTCCTATCCAAATACAGTTCTTTAGATCTTTCTGTCATCCAAATGTCAATTGCTTAAAGTGAAACCCTTTGAAATGGTCACCATCTCATTTATGTCTTGTTAACATCTATCCATGGTATTAATTCTAGAAATATCTTCTATAACCCTCTATGTTTTGGTTATGAAACATTGCTATAAGTTCTTTTCATATTTAAAACATTGCCAAGTCTCTTTAAAACATCTGTAGCGGTAACAAATTTCAAACAAATTTGAACAGGCAATAATTTGAACCTGATTTATTTTTTGCTTCTTCTCATATTCCAAGATCATTATTATTGATGTGGTAACAAATGGGAATAATTAATTAACAGCTGCAGCTGCTTTAAGCTCTGTAGTCATATCTCATTTGGAAAATAAAAATTTTATGGTAAGTTTATCAAATTACTTTCAAAGATTATATGACAAATACAGGTGACTCTTGATGGCTTAAACTCCAATCTCTAAGTTTTTGATTTCTAGAAGTAAAACTTGGGTCCTGTAACTCCTGATCTATTGAATTTCTGATCTCCCTAAGTGTTATTCAGAATTTAATTTTATGCTAAATACCAACTGAGTGTAAAAATGAATTGAGAACAAATAAATACTGAAAATTAAATTCAAGTGAATTACCAGTAAAATACGAATGAAAATGTACCAGGATGTTTTCAACAACTTCTTCATTTAAAAATAAAATTGAACCATAATGATTGGACCTGAAAATTCTGAATTTCATTCCCCTTTCAATCTTGAAAACCCCTCAATCAGACTTTTTTTTAAGGTCCCTTGAACTTCGAGAAATCTCTAGTCACCTGTATAACCTGAAAATCCTACCAAAATGTTTATATTCGTAAAAAAGAAATTGCTTCTTTCTCAGGTCCTTGTATGAAAAATGAATTCTATGTATGGTCCTCTCTTTGTTTAAGATAAAAATGGTACCCCCTGAAATTTTCTGGAGTCCTAAGGTAGGATAGATTTTTACTAGAAAAGCCCATATGAATACTCAGGTATATCTTTAAAAAAAATTAAGTTAGCAAGTTTCTTTTCGTACCATTTTTTTTCCAAAATGTGATATGACTTTCAATTGATCTAATGATTTCAGTTGAGTTTTTTTGGATCTTTTTACAGCTCAACAAGGAGTTACAAAGTTTTGGTAAGTACATGTATTTGACTGTAAAACATACACAGTGTGTATGAAATAGTTTTATCAGCAAAACATGATAAGTTTCTTGAGAACTGCTTTGAGAGTCTGGTACCAGATGTGAAGCTTTTATTTTGAACAAAAAATGAGAAGATCTAGTAACACAGGTACATAATGTCTTTTTCCCAGGGAGAACTTTGGGTACATATCTCAAAAGTGGAAGGATCCACCATCACAAGATATGAAGTTTGTGAGGAAAAGGGCAATGCAAATTAATGTAACGTTACAGTGTGGTAAGTTTATTTTGTGTTATTAGGAGTATTAGTAAATCCAGGAATTATAACTTCAGTGTAAATTTGAAACATGCATACATGCCTTGTTTTGATGGCATGAATTTAAATTATTTAATATTTTCAAATTCTTTAATTTTGGTATAAACTTCTTTACGGAATACCTGCATAATATTCTAATATTAATTACCATCATGAATGTTCACGTTGAATTTTAGATAATTGCCTGCGATGGCGAACCTTACCATTTTCATCAAATAATATTGGCAAAGATTTCGATGATGATTGGGTGTGTGCAATGAACCCTGATGTTCAACATAATAAGTAGGTGTTTAATGTACTGTACATATCACATGTAAAATCAAATTCATACGGTGTCAATTTCACTTCAGTTAGGTAGAGGATAAATCTGGTTTGAAGTATGATGTGAAGCGTTTCTGGAGATACGTTACTGTAGAAGCATTTATTTTTTTACATACTGTTAAAAGTTTACTTTTTTGTGAGTGTGATTTCATAGATATATACATGTACATGTATATTGTAAAAGATTCATACATTGTGAGAGTTACCTGTACATGTAATATGGAAATAATTTCCAGTTTCCTTATTTGTGCATATTGCTAATTCATGGGAAGGGTTATTTATTAATATATGTACATGAATGAGATTGCAATGAAATACATGTATATTGATTTTATTGTAGGTGAATTTTTCTGAATAATCTTAATATTTGGTACTTTTTCCCCTTTGAAGATGCTCAGCAATAGAACAAAAGATGAATATACCTGAAGGGATCTTAAAGAAAGAAGTAAAAACAAAGGAACAGAAAACCAAAGATATAGAAGAGGTAAAAGTTGAATTGGCTAGGAATATTCTGAACTTTGTTCTGGACACAATTAAGCCATCAGTTGTAAAAGATAGGAAAAAAATTGGGTAAAATGGATTGCAAAGGTGTATCTCTTAATGAGCTACATATATTCATTGTGGTTCTGATTGCAGTAAATTACATTGAATTGAGGAAAATTTTCATCAGTTTTGTTAGCTCACCTGAGCTGAAAGCTCAAGTGAGCTTTTCTGATCACCCATTGTCCGTCGTCCGTCTGTCCGTCCATCCATCTGTCTGTCCATCCGTCCATCTGTAAACTTTTCACATTTTCAACTTCTTCTCAAAAACCACTGGGCCAATTTTAACCAAATTTGGTACAAAGCATCCTTGAGTGAAGGGGAGTTTAAATTGTTAAAAATAAATGGCCAAACCCCCTTACAAGGGGAGATAATCAAGAAAAGACAAAAATAGGGTGGGGTCATTAAAAAATCTTCTTCTCAAGAACCACTGGGCCAGAAAAGCTGAAACTTATGTGGAAAAATTTTTGGGTAGTGTAGATTCTAAATTGTTAAAATCATAACCCCCAGAGCAAGGGCGGGGCCACAATAGGGAATCCAAGTTTTACATTGAAATATATAGAAAAAAATCTTTAAAAAATCTTCTTCTCAAGAACCACTGGGCTAGAAAAGCTGAAACTTGTGTGGAAGCATCCTGGGGTAGTATAGATTCTAAATTGTTAAAATCATGACCCCCGGGGCAAGGGCGGGGCCACAATAGGGAATCCAAGTTTTACATTGAAATATATAGAAAAAAATCTTTAAAAATCTTCTTCTCAAGAACCATTAGGCCAGAAAAGCTGAAACTTATTTTGAAGCATCCTGGGGTAGTGTAGATTTTAAATTGTTAAAATCATGACCCCCGGGGAAAGGGCGGGGCCATAATAGGGAATCCAAGTTTTACATTGAAATACATAGAAAAAAATCTTTAAAAAATCTTCTTCTCAAGAACCACTTAGCCATACAAACTGAAACTTATGTGGAAGCATGCTGGGGTAGTGTAAATTCTAAATTGTAAAAATCATGACCCCCAAGGGAAGGGCGGGGCCACAATAGGGAATCCAAGTTTTACATTGAAATATAGAGAAAAAAATCTTTAAAATTCTTCTTCTCAAAAACCATTGGGCCAGAAAAGCTGAAACTTATGTTGAAGCATCCTGGGGTAGTGTAGATTTTAAATTGTTAAAATCATGACCCCCGGGGAAAGGGCGGGGCCACAATAGGGAATCCAAGTTTTACATTGAAATACATAGAAAAAGTCTTTAAAAATCTTCTTCTCAAGAACCACTTAGCCAGACAAACTGAAACTTATGTGGAAGCATGCTGGGGTAGTGTAAATTCTAAATTGTTAAAATCATGACCCCGGGGGAAGGGCAGGGCCACAATAGGGAATCCAAGTTTTACATTGAAATATATAGAAAAAATCTTTAAAAATCTTCTTCTCAAGAACCATTAGGCCAGAAAAGCTGAAACTTATGTGGAAGCATTCTTGGGTAGTGTAGATTCTAAATTGTTAAAATCATGACCCCTGGGGGCAGGGCGCGGCCACAATAGGAAATCCAATTTTTATATTGAAATATATAGAAAAAAAAATCTTCTTCTCAAGAACCACTTGGTCAGAAAAGCTAAGACTTTTGTAGAAGCATCCTGGGGCAGCGTAAATTCTAAAGAATTCAAATCTTGACCCCTGGGTGTAGGGCGGGGCCACAATAGGGAATCCAAGTTTTACATTGAAATATATAGGAAAAATCTTCAAAAATTTTCTCCTCAAGAACCTCTTGGCCAGTAAAGCTGAAACTTATATGGAAACATCCTAGGGTAGTGTAGATTTTAAATTGTTAAAATCATGATCCCCGTGGGTAGGGCGGGGCCACAATAGGTATTACAAAAAGTTTATCTGGAGAAGAACAGCAGGGCCAAAGTTATTCAGGTGAGCGTTGTGGCCCATGGGCCTCATGTTTTTGCTCCTTTAATACTTTTGTTAGCATAGTTAGTCTCTCTAATAAGACATTCTTTATTTTTTAACAAAGGAAATCAAGAAAAAGCAAGAACTCCTACAGAAAATGAATGTAAGTACTGTTTATCTCTGGTTGATATTCAGAAAGACACAAACAGTATCTTTGAGCATTTGTTGGCTTTATTACATGCTGTACATTTAATGAGAAAGTATGATCTAATTTAGAAAACAAAGGCAGTGACATCATCACGGCAGGCAGCTGAAATGGAAAGGAAAAGACGTGAAGAAGAAGAGAGGCAACAAAGAGAGGAAGAGGAGAGGAGGAAAAAGGAGGCAGAGAAGAAGAAACGGGAAGAAAAGAGGAGGAGAGAGGAGGCTGAGCGAGAACGGGAGAGGAGGGAGCAGGAGAGGAATGCCAGACTGGAGAAGGCCAAAAAAGAGAGGGAAAAGGCAGAACGGGAAAGGAAAGCCAGGGTACGGATATCCAGGAATGCTGGAATTTGTAGCTGAATAGAATTCTTTTGTATGTAAGAACTGCACAAAACAGCTCCTCAGAAACATTTATGTTGATTTGTCTTGATGTCCTGTTGGGCAAGTGGGTGGGTGTTCATCCCGTTGGTTTCCAGATGATAACTTTTCGAATGCATTATTAGTTCACAATTCACAAGTAGCAAATCATGAGAAAAATGCTTATGGTGTTCTTTCTGAAATGAAGGACAATGTTTATGTTGATTGGTTCTGTTCTGTAGGAAGCAGCTGTGGCAGCTAAAAAGAGAGCAATGTCTCCCCCAGCTGCTAAATCCAAGGCCACCGTCAACAACTCGAAATCAAAAGCCATCCGGTCACCAACTGTATCACAGTCCTCCATGAAGAACCCCCGAGTTACTCTTACCAACATTAAAAATACACAGGTATGCACAGTGAAGAAATGTTACGATGTGGGACCTGAGATTAAGAAAAATAAATGACATGAGTGGCTGGTCATCCAGGTTTCTGTAACTATCTTTGCAGCTAGCTCCTTTTGTGATGTTTTCAATTCTAAATACATGTGGCAATTTCCTTTTGTAAATTCTAGAATATCCCAGTCATACAGTGTGCGAGTTTAAAGTAAAAGTTAGACATATTTTTGAATCTTCCATATCAATTCCAGAACATCGGTCACACATGAAAATTAGTTTATGTATAAAACTGTATATATATTACTTCTTGACAGAATTTTGATGGGACAGGAGAGGAAGTTGTGAATTCAGTAGGGAAGAGGAAGTCCCATGTCTCCAGTGATTCCGAGGAACTCCCCAGTCCTGCTAAAAGATCTAAAGCCACCTCCTCAGTGGACTCAGAAAGTGACATTGTGAACTCTAATAAACACAAGTCTGTGGAAACACAGGCAGATGATACAGAGGAAGAAGCACCACCTGTCAAAAGGGGGAGGAGATCAGCATTTAGTAACTCAGTAGCAGATATAGTACGCATCATTTTGGTTATCAGTGCAATTTTGACATTTTATTTACTTTAGCAGGCTTAGAGTGGTTTTGCTACAAAGGTTCATAATGTTTAGATTTTTTTTTTTAACCAAACCTTTATTAGCTCTTCTGAGCCAAAGGCTCAAAGAGCCAATGCCATGGCCATTAGTGTGGTGTGCATAACTTTTTAGAATATGGGCCATAACTCAAGAACCTCTTGGCCAATTATTGTCAAATTTGTCACAGGGTATCCTTGGCCCAAGGGCTCCGGTTTATAATAAAACTAGGGTTGTGACCCTTAAACAAGGGGAGATAATTAGGAAAATAGAAACAAAAGTACTGGTTGCTAAAAAATCTTCTTCTCAAGAACCACTGGGCAGATTATCACCAAACTTACACAAAAGGATGAGGATATGTTGTAAATTAAAATTTGCACGGGGAATCACCCTGGGGCAAAGGGCATGGTTTCAAGGTCACTTCAAAGTTGACCAAAAATTACATTTTACTAAAATGTTGATATTTTGCTTACTATAAGGACTAGGATCATCAAATCTTGTCAGTTGATGCATGAAAGGACGTCATATCATGTTGACTCAAAAGTAGGTCACTGTGACCTTCTTTTTAGCTCACCTGAGCCGAAGGCTCAAGTGAGCTTTTCTGATCACATTTTGTCCGTCGTCCGTCCGTCCGTCTGTCCGTCTGTCCGTCTGTCTGTCTGTCTGTCCGTCCGTCTGTAAACTTTTCACATTTTTGACTTCTTCTCAAGAACCACTGGGCCAATTTTGACCAAACTTGGTACAAAGCATCCTTGGGTGAAGGGAAATTTAAATTGTTAAAATGAAGGGCCAAGTCCCCTCACAAGGGGAGATAATCAAGAGAAGACAAAAATAGGGTGGGGTCATTAAAAAATCTTCTTCTCAAGAACCACAAGGCCAGTAAAGCTGAAACTTATATGGAAGCATCCTGGGGTAGTGTAGATTCTAAATTGTTCAAATCATGACCCCCGGGGGTAGGGCGGGGCCACAATGTGGAATCAATGTTTTACATAGAAATATATAGGAAAAATCTTTAAAAATCTTCTTCTCAAGAACCACTGAGCCAGAAAAGCTGAAACTTATGTGGAAGCATCCTGGGGTAGTGTAGATTTTAAATTGTAAAAATCATGACCCCCGGGGGTAGGGCGGGGCCACAATAGGGAATCCAAGTTTTACATTGAAATATATAGGAAAAATCTTTAAAAATCTTCTTCTCAAGACCCACTGAGCCAGAAAAGCTGAAACTTATGTGGAAGCATCCTGGGATAGTGTAGATTCTAAATTGTTCAAATCATGACCCCCAGGGGTAGGGCGGGGCCACAATAGGGAGTCCAAGTTTTACATTGAAATATATAGGAAAAATCTTTAAAAATCTTCTTCTCAAGAACCACAGAGCCAGAAAAGCTGAAACTTATGTGGAAGCATCCTGGGATAGTGTAGATTCTAAATTGTTCAAATCAGGACCCCCGGGGGTAGGGCGGGGCCACAATGTGGAATCCAAGTTTTACATTGAAATATATAGGAAAAATTTTAAAAATCTTCTTCTCAAGAACCACTGAGCCAGAAAAGCTGAAACTTATGTGGAAGCATCCTGGGATAGTGTAGATTCTAAATTGTTCAAATCAGGACCCCCGGGGGTAGGGCAGGGCCACAATAAGGAATACAAGTTTTGCATTGAAATATATAGGAAAAATCTTTAAAAATCTTCTTCTCAAGAACCACTGAGCCAGAAAAGCTGAAACTTATGTGGAAGCATCCTGGGATAGTGTAGATTCTAAATTGTTCAAATCAGGACCCCCGGGGGTAGGGCAGGGCCACAATAAGGAATACAAGTTTTGCATTGAAATATATAGAAAAAATCTTTAAAAATCTTCTTCTCAAGAACCACAGAGCCAGAAAAGCTGAAACTTATGTGGAAGCATCCTGGGATAGTGTAGATTCTAAATTGTTCAAATCATGACCCCGGGGGTAGGGCGGGGCCACAATAGGGAAACATTGAAATATATAGGAAAAATCTTTAAAAATCTTCTCAAGAACCACTGAGCCAGAAAAGCTGAAACTTATGTGGAAGCATCCTGGGATAGTGTTGATTCTAAATTGTTAAAATCATGACCCCCGGGGGTAGGGCTGGGCCACAATAGGTATTACAAGAGGGGAAGTCTGGTAATGAACAGCATGGCCAAAGTTACTCAGGTGAGCGATGTGGCCCATGGGCCTCTTGTTAAATTTTGCAGCCGTTCTTTTTCAAAATGATTTAGAGGCATATTTTGAACAGTTTAAGGCCTTTGATCATCAAACTTTGTCAGTTGATGTATCTTGCGTCCTCAGAGTACGTCGACTAAAAAGTAGGTCTTCTTGACCTACTTTTTGAATTTTATGGCTAATCTTTTTCAAAACAATAAAGGTCATTAATTCGAAAATTGAGAGGTTTAGAATCATTAAATCTTGTAAGATGATGCATCTTGGGGCCATAAAACATTTATTAAAATGTAGGTCACAGTGACCTACTTTTTGAACTTTGCAGCCATTCGATTTCAAAGCGTTTAAGAGGCATAATTTGGACATTTTAAGGCCTATGATCATAAAACTTTGTAAGTTGATGCATCTTGGGTCCCCGAAAAACTTCAACTGAAAAGTAGGTCAATTGACCTACTTTTTAATTTATATGACTTTAATTAAATATTTCAGGTACTATTTGGCTTAGAATCATCAAACTTTGTCAGTTGATGCATCTTGGGTCCTTGGAGTACAACAACTGAAAAGTAGGTCACCGTGACCTACTTTTGAAATTCTATAGCTGTATTTAATATTTTCGGGTACTATTTGGCTTAGAATCATCAAAATTTGTCAGTTGATATATATTGGGTCCTCGGAGTAGGTCGACTGAAAAGTAGGTCACTGTGACCTACTTTTGAAAACTTATGGCTTTAATTAAATATTTCAGATACTTATTTGCCTAAAATCATCAAACTTTGTCAGTTGATGCATCTTTGGTCCTTGGAGTATGACAACAAAAAAGTAGGTCACCCTGACCTACTTTTGAAATTTTATGGCTGTATTTAATATTTTATGGCTTAGAATCATCAAAATTTGTCAGTTGATATATCTTGGGTACTCATTGTAGGTCAACTGAACAGTAGGTCACCGTGACCTACCTTTCAATTTATATGACTGCAATTAAATTTCGGGTACTATTTGGCTTAGAATCATCAAACTTTGTCAGTTAATGGATCTTGTGTCTTCGGAGTACAACTGAAAAGTAGGTCACCTGACCTACTTTAGAAAATTAATGGCTTTAGTTAAATATTTCAGGTACTAATTGGCTTAGAATCATCAAACTTTTTCAGTTGATGCATCTTGGGTCTGTAGAGTTAGTTGACTGAAAATGAGGTCACTGTGACCTATTTTTGAAATTTTATGGCTTTATTAGCTCACCTGAGCCAAAGGCTCAAGTGAGCTTTTCTGATCACATTTTGTCTGTAGTCTGTCTGTCTGTCTGTCTGTCTGTCCGTCTGTAAACTTTTCACATTTTCGACTTCTTCTCAAGAACCACTGGGCCAATTTCAACCAAACTTGCCACAAAGTATCCTTGAGTGAAGGGGATTCAAGTTTGTTCAAATGAAGGGCCACGCCCTCTTTCAAGGGGAAATAATAAAGAATTAGTGAAAAATTAATAGCATCTTTTAAAAATCTTCTTCTCAAGAACCACAAAGCTAGGGAAGATGAAACTCACGTGGAAGCATCCTCAGGTAGTGTAGATTCAAGTTTGTTCAAATCATGACCCCCGGGGGTAGGGCGGGGCCACAGTGGAGGATCAAAGTTTTACATAGAAATATATAGGAAAAACCTTTAAAAATCTTCTTCTCAAGAACAGCAAAGCCATGATGAGTCATATTTATATGGAAGCATCCTCAGGTAGTGTAGATTCAAATTTGTTCAAATCATGACCCCAGGGGGTAAGGCGGGGTCACAATGGAGGATCAAAGTTTTACATAGAAATATATAGAAAAAATCTTTAAAAATCTTCTTCTCAATAACAGCAAAGCCATGATGAGTCATATTTATATGGAAGCATCCTCAGGTAGTGTAGATTCAAGTTTGTTCAAATGATTACCCCAGGGGGTAGGGTGGGGCCACAATGGAGGATCAAAGTTTTACATAGAAATATATAGAAAAAATCTTTAAAAATCTTCTCAGAACAGCAAAGCCATGATGAGTCATATTTATATGGAAGCATCCTCAGGTGGTGTAGATTCAAGTTTGTTCAAATGATGACCCCTGGGATAGGGAGGAGCCACAATGGGGGATCAAATTTTTACAAAGGAATATATGGGAAATTTTTTAAAAAATCTTCTCAAGTACAACAAAGCCATTTGTTATATTGACATGAAAGCATCATCAGGTAGTTTAAAATTCAAGCCCCCCCCCCCCCCCCCCCCCAATCTTTTCAATACTGAACTGATTTGTGCTTTTGCCTTGCCAATGTGCTCAGGTGAGCGATGTGGCCCATGGGCCTCTTGTTTAAATATATCAGGTACTTGTTGGCTTAGAATCATCAAACTTTGTCAGTTGATGCATCTTGGGTCCTCAAAGTATGTCATCTTAAAAGTAGGTCACTGTGACCTACTTTTGAAATTTTATGGTTATAATTTTAAAACTATTTTAGGTATTAATTGGCTTAGAATCATTAAACTTAGTTGATGCATTTTTGGTCCTCAGAGAATGACAAGTGATAAGTAGGTTACCATGACCTACTCTCAGGTACTAATTGGCTTAGAATCATCTTGGGTTCTCAGAGTGTTTCATCTAAAATGTAGGTCATGATGATCTTCCTTTGGAATTTCAAGGCTTTTTCTAAATATACAGGATACTTAGAGGCTTCAAATAGAAGTGATAGGTTGTACAGTTTATCAGAAGAGTGATTCAAGGCCCTTGGATCATATACTGGAAGTAGAAAATCAATAAGGGAGGGCAACTATGTTAAGACAAACTGTTCAAGTTGGAAATGCTAAGGTTATTGAATTACGGCCACTGCTTTCTCACTTTTTCTAGGTGCTAACCCTATGGTGAGGGTAGCCCTAGTCCAGGCCCTATGTTACCCAAACTCTGATGCATTCAGTCTCAAGTTTTGTAGCTTATTGGGGTGTGTTGCAATATTTAGAATAAAGAAGGTATATTTTCTTTGCAGTCTTCATGTGAAGATGATTCAAAAGTAGAAGACAATGACGTAGGTCGATTGTCGTCAACAGATGCTGACAGTGATAGTAAGTAGTGCAAAAAATTCATACATATTGGTATGGTTGAAGTACATGTATTTTACGAAAATAATTGTGCATGTCTCTAATTTATGGTTCATATTGCAATTTTTTCCTAAATTTTAGGTGAAATTGGGACCAAAGTAGAAGTTCAAGTCAGTAAGAAATGGTAAGTTTTGTATGGAGTAATGTTTGGAGGAATAATGAAATGGAATGAGGAGGATTTTAAGTAATGTCGGGATTTCTTTTTGATTTTAGGTACACTGGCAGGGTGGTTAAAGTCAACCACGCAGACAAGAAATGGAAAGTCAAATTTGATAACAATCCCAGGGACAAGTATGATAAATGGTAAGTGTTTTATATAGTGTCACATTACTGGTTTCTTATTATAGTACATTATATAGGTGGAATACCTTAGATGGATTTGGAAAAGATCATAACTGCATTATGTAAAGATGCAGAAGCTTGCACATTTTGAATTTTAGCTCCATGTTTTGTATGTTTAGGCACAGTGATGCACACTTAACTCATGAATAGAATGCAATACTCGATTGTGATCAAGGTTATGAAGTAGTGTGAGCTTTGAGTGATTTTGTGCTTTCATAGAATATCTGTAGATCAGGAAGACATTTTCTGAGATATAGACTTAAAGATGATGAATGAAACAGTTCATAAACACTTGGAAATGTGATTTACCAGCATTTAGTCAAATATTAAAAAAGAAAATAAGGGTGCAAATGATATAGTCAATGATCAATATCTTAACAACTGACATCACATGAATATGAGTACTTCAGCGTGATAATAGCTAATGTTGCAATGATAGAGGGAAAACACGTGAAAATCTTACCTGTGGTCAGTGGAGTACTTGTATATAGGAAATTCTGATACCTGATGTGTGACATTACAGAACCTTTTCTCCCCTAATAACTGTTCAGAATTATGTTACACACACTAGTGGGAGTTTATTTCTTGAATGCACAGCTGTGTTGATTAACCATAAGTCGATGGAATGATTTGCTTTGAATTGCCCAATCTGAACATCTTAAGTTTTTTTTTTTCAGAAATTTGTTCTAAAAAAATAGTCATATCAGAATAAAGCTACCATATTGGACTTCAGCTCACAATGTCATATTGAACTGGATAGACTGAAAAGTGGCAGTAATCTGGTGTTACTGCTATCTGGAACTTTTATTATATACCTTACTTTCTTTACAACTGCTTGGCCAATATCCGTAGTCAAATATGAAAGAAAGTGCCATTAGTATTTAAAGGGCAAAAAAAATGTGTACAGTCGGAAGTCTACATTCCGTATATGGATAGGTAATAAAAGAAATTATGGAAAGAAAGTGAAGTTACAAAATATTTTTATATTTTTTGAAATTTAGTTGAGCTAAGATGGCATCTGGTGAGCACTGTGGCATTTGTGTCCTATTGCTTCTGAGAAAGTTAAGATTGTCATTATGAACAAATCTAGAAAATATGTATCAATTAATGAACAAAAGTGTGATTATGTCCCATATTTTGATATTTACCAGTACTGTGCACTGTGTCTTTTCAACAACAACAAATAAAAGTGGAAGAAAAAATCTCTCCTTAGGTTTGTACTATTACCTGATTGTCAGAAACAAGATGATGTACTTCTTTTCTTATACACATTGTAAATAAGTAAGCTGTGAATTGTTAAAAGGGCACAATTATGGAAAAAAAGTACACCATATGAGTAATGAATTAGGTAATAATCATATACATGTATGTATTGTCAGGCAATTCAATGCATGTCTAATTAGGGCCCTGCAAGGAATTCTGGGTTCCCTATAGTAATCACTCTGTCTGTCTGTCTCTCATTCTTCCATCCACAAATTTTCTGTTTTTTTTCCAATAACTTTTTTGTAGTTGACCAATTAAGTTCAAATTTGGTATGTTGGTTGAAGAGGCAGTAAGACATATTTTGATGCTAAGTTTGGTTCTCTATGTCATCCACTTTGGAGCTGGGGTGGTGGGGTAGATTCCTTAACTTTACATTAGAATGAATGCCAGGGCAAAGAGAGATAACTGCTGAGAATGTTCCTATTGTAAACTGTGAAAGCTGCAACTAGTCCTATGAGATTAATTAACTTTCCTCTTGAAGAAAATCCAAAGCTTTATCTGTTTCTGTCAAATTGAGATTAATTAACACCTCTGTCTGCAAATGAAGTTTGTTTTGAAGTTAAGGTCCATTCTGAATGATTTACATTCTCTGAAATGTGGATTTAAATAATGTTCATACTTTATTTTGGTAAAATACACAATGAGTTATGATTTTCTTAAAAAAAACAAGATATACATAAAGATATGTTTTTTTAATGGGTTTTTTTTATTTATTTACTTATTTTATTTATTTATTAATTTTTTTTTTTTTTTTTTTTTTTTGCTGCCATATGTAAATTCAAGAATACTATTAATTTTAACCAGTAGTCCAATAATAAACTCATTCCATCATTACTGAAAAAGTTCTTATTGTAAACTTGGGAGAAAAGAATGTGAGAGCAGTACAATTAATCCCCTGGGATTAATTATCTTGTCTAGGGCAGAAAATTTTCCAGGCTTATCTTTGTCACTTTAAGATAAATTAACATTTGTCTGCAGTTGATGTTTGTTTTGAAGGTAAGGTCAAGCCTGGGTGATATTTGCATTCACTGAAGGCTGGCATTTTATAAAACACATGCTTTATTCTTGTTTAAATATACATTTAATTGAGTTATTATAGATATGATGTTTTTTACTGCCTTATGTAAATACAGGGATACTCTTTACAGGTTGTTGGATATTTATGAATTATCTTGAAATTTTATACAGTTGTTATTGCATATTCTTCTTTGTATATTTTTCAATTTTTGTAATCAATTAAAATTCTCATTCTGTAAGCTGCACCCTTATGTTTCTACCCCTTGAAGGGGCCCTTGCTGACTGGTCAGTTTTCTAGTTCTAAATGAAAATTTGTAGAAATATCAGTCTTGCATTAAATTATAAGTATGATGCAGCTTTACTGAGGAATTGTAAGAGAAGAAAAAAAATCATTGCAGCTTTATTATCTCCTTGTAACGAAGTTGAAGGGTATATAGTAATGCGCTTCTGTTGTGTGGGTGGGTGAGTGAGTGCATGCATAACGAAAGTTACACAAGTAGTAATTTATATCTAATCAGTGTGCTCTTTTGTGAAGGGATGCTCCACTTTGTGGTGCCCTTGTTACACAATTTATTGTCACAATTGCAAGGTATTTGAAAACTACAGTATAACTGTTGAAGATATAATATATAAATACTGCATATAGTTGAAGGTAAGATTGAAAATTTTCTTCCCAGGAAAACCATTGTCAACTGAGGTGCAGCCCTTAACTACATGCAATATTTATTGGATTATACAAATAAAGGTGAAACAAGTGCACATAGATTCTGCACTTTCAATATTTTTGCGAATATCACCCATCATCAAGTAATGTTGACTGTTGCTAAGTTCTGGTTTCATAATTTAGAGGATAACCATATTTTTAAACAAATGTTTCTCCATGAATCAAATTCAACTAATTTACGTGAAAGTATAATACTGAGAAATGGAGCTCTTTCACTACAATCACCTGTAACCTGCTCCTAGTCCAGAGGAATTGTGGGGGTTATTTCCCTTTGTACGGTTGTCTGTGTGACTCATTCCAGCCTTGATTCTCTCTCATACAATGTGACTTCTATTTACAGCAAGACTGCCACTGAGAGGTTTATGTATGTCCAATAGACCTAATTCCTATACCATCTTGATAAGGCCTTTCACACCCATTCTTAGTGATGTTAGTCATAAGACGAAGACAATGTTTATATGGAGATCCACCACTGACACCATCAGATAAAATTGTCCCGTTATACTGGTCAGTCTAAGGAGCTGTTTATGTCAGTCACCCCCCTGTCTTTTGTGTCCATTGTCCTGGATCTTCTTGACGCTATCATTTCACTGCATGATGCTGACATTTAAATGTACCGTCCTTACCCCATCTGACACAGTGGACCACCTCTAGGCCATTTAAATGAAGAAAGAGTACAAATTATTGAGGAATGTCCAACATTTAAACTGCCACAATTCATGTATGTTTTAAAAAGAAATTAGCTTTAAAATTTGGAGATTTTTTAACACTATCGAAGCCTCTGTTTATGGCATTTTCTTTTTTCCCCATTATTACTCATGGTGTATTTGCATAAAAAAAACCAGACCAATAATTACTAAAATGTATTGGTGTGTCAAGAAATCTTTGATTAGCTGGGACTTCTTTTTCCATTTACTTAATGAAACCTTCACTGCTTCCAATGTTTTCACACCAGTTCCTGTGAATATTTTGGGTCTCTATCCAAATTATCTGTGACAGCTGTTCCTATTCCTGAATCCTTGTTCCTTTAGGAATATAATCACATAATCCATTTTTTGATTGACACCTTGCCTCCGGATAGATACAGAGATCTCTAGCGAATTCTTTAAAGAATTATTTTCTTCAGGGATGTAGATTGCATTTGACTGGTGGCCCGACGTGCGAGATGTTTTTCTTTTGGAGATGTTTCGGCACCTTACTTGTAAAATTTAGCTGCTTGCCTATCACAGAATGTGTTTTCCTTATTATTGTTCTGGCTAGATCTGTCGAGAATTTCAGGCATCTTCGTTGGTTCTGACACAGCAGCATGGCAATTGGGAATAAAGAGTTTATTTCTTTGCGAAAGTGATTAAAAATTTACAAGTACCGTCCACAGTCGAGTTGTAAATTTTAACCAATTGTAAGCAATATAATTTTATGTCTATGTGAAGCAATTAGCACTGTCCCTTATGTGTAATTTGCCGATATTAGCAAATGCTGAAGGATTTCATTTAGCAATGGACTGCATAATGCTTCAAATCTCTGTGGGGACTCGCAACTATTATTTTTTGTGGGGTTAAGTTATTTCTTGCTAATTTTTTATGGTTTTCTCTCTTAATGAAACTGAGTGATGAATATATAATATATATTTTCCTAGTGTAGTTTTCTTTTCAGACTGTCATGCTGAATCTTGATTATTGTTGTTAATCAATTTACTTATATATTATAGAAAAAAAATGGTGTGTTAACTCTACAAAGTCTACACTAGCTGTTCATCAGTATTAGGGGTAATAAACCATAGATTCAACACACACATCCCATCCCAATCCCTCAACCCCTTTCCCTTTCCCCTCATAAGAGTATATACATGCATTTATATGTAAAAAATTAGGAATTTGTGAACTGAGAGTGAAAATAAATAATGTAGCAGTAAATGCATAGTTTATTACAACTAATTCTTTAGTATATTTTCTGATTTCTTTAAAGTCTGTTAATCAAAAGGAAGCATCCAGCATAATGGAGTCCCCAGTCATGAGGGAATCGTTTGATCTGGGTATTTGTGATGAGCCAGTTAGGTCATTGATACTGACTCTGGGATGCAGTGATTGGAAGCAAAGTGATCGTTTTCTTCAGTGGGAGTATCATTTGACAAAGAGACCAGGGTCTGTGGTCATTTGACAAGGGAAAATTACACCCGTGTCTCGACATTGATGAAATTTTAATCAGATGTTACATGGATTTTTTTCTTTCTGCGGGTGCACTAATGCAAGTGGCCTTAGATCTTGTGTTGGCTGTGTTGCTTTGAATGATCTTTTGATGAGGTGCTCTTCCTCATTGTTCTTTAATAAAATCATTTGTGAGATTGAAAAAAAAAAATGTTTCTTTTCTACTTTTTATGATCCCCAAAAAAATAAATATGAAAAGTCTTGCAGGAACTCCAAAATTGAGAAGAAAAATTTATTGATATAGCATCGTACTTTACTTGGACAGGAGAAGCAATCTTCATTAAAAGTCTGTAATTAATTGTCAATTTTCTTCCTAAATATAAAGGCCATTTGCAAGAATATACCGGTAATGAAATTCCCAACATTATAATATTTGGGCCTGAATGTGATATATCATTTTTCTTCATCTTTTTCATAACAAATTGAGATTCCTTTCATAATTTAACACTACTGAGGTGCTTGAATTGGAGCTTTAATATCAGTGAAGTTACTTAAGATTTCTTATTAGAATCCCATTTTGGGAAAGTTAATACCTTGAAATGTTAGTTGTTATGTAAGAAGGTATAAAATTCTTATGTATTTAACACTGGTAAGTGATCAAGGATCATTATATCTGTAATGGCAATTGGAGATGGGATACGATCACGGGGAAAAAAAAAATTAATTTCTCAGTGACGTACATTGGAATTCTTATCATTTGATTCATATTGTACCATAGTCAACAAGATGTCAACCGAGAGGTGACAAATTACAATATTTGGAATCTGTTTGAAAACATTGATATCACGTTGGAACAATAGATGTACAGGTAGGGGATAGAGACTGATTAGTCGTAGTGTCAGATGCCATACACCTCAGTAGCCATGCGGTGGTGTGTGGCCACGTGTGCTATACCAAGAATTAGCCAGCAAAGGCCACAATTATCACTCCTCCGTCAATATTTTACCAAGCTCCTGATACATACCTCAGTGTTTCGGGCTGTTTGAGATGTTTCTCCGTGTAGATAATAAAACAAGTTGTTAATGTGTGGTGTTTGTAATGAGGTAATTATAAGGGGGGCTATGGAGGAGTTGTCCTGGGGAGATAATCCTTACCTTTGTTAAGAGTTCTGAGCTTTTGTATTGGGACTGGACTGACCACAGGTTATGGAGGCAGTGTATTCTCTCAGTGGGGATTCTCAACCACTTTATTTATCAAGTCCCCAGAACTGAACTGTTATGGTAGGGCAGTGGTGTGATTGGGGACAGGCATGCTGGGTCCTGGGTGGTGTTTTCCCCACCAGGTCTTATCCCTGGCACGTTCCAGAGACACTCTAAAGAACTTAATTAAATTGTGTTGGCTCCACTTCCCTTGAAAAAAGTTGTAAAGTTACTGTTTATTTTGGACAGAAGTAGAGTAGTCATTACAGTGCAGGGTATTGTCAGAATACAATGCTGTCCTATCAGTCAGAGTGGGGAACCATATTGTTTGCTTTATTAGCCTCATCTAATGTTTGAACCCAGACCACAAAACATGAGCTAAAACTAAAATAAGTATTAATGAAAAACTACTGTTGTATTGCTGGTTGGTCCCTATCAAATTACACTCAGAAAGGAAATTTGTGCATTTAATTCAGAGAAACAGAACCTTTCTTTACATTATTTTTTTTTCCTTCAGGTTTGACAAAGGTGGTACAGATATCAAACTCCTTGTAAGTATTGTGCTCAAATGTAAATGGCTGTTATTCAAAAATGCCACATTATCTTATTTGATCTGCATTCCATAAACCCAGGTTTAGAAATAAATGAGAAACAAGAAAATACTCATATGTTTAAACTGTTTTTAAAAAATGATTGAAAATATATTTCAAATGAGAAACAGAATATAGATGATGAATGAGTGAAGTTTGTTTTGTAGAATGGTCATCCACCTTCATCAGAGTCCACAAATCACACCCCACCCTCCCCGGCCTCCTCCCAGGACACAGCGGCAGAGACGCCATCATCGTCAACAGCAACAACTGCCGTGGCAACGTCATCTGATCAGGTGACAGAGGAAATCGCTAACGGCTACAGGTTAGGTTTCATAGTTCATTGCTCCTATTCTTTTCATTGTACAGTAGATAAATGATGAAACTTCATATTTCTAGAGTCATGAAGGTAGCGAGTGTATCATATTTGGTTCACGATTATTAGATTAATTCATGGAAAGAAGTATCATCGATCTGTGCAAATCATAAAACTCTGTGCAAATCATAAAACTGTTGCTGCTACAGAAAACATGCAAAAAAAAAAACATCCACCAAAGAGTTTCTTAAGCTGATGAGATTCCAGTTGTTAAATTTTTATTACAACAGTTATATCCATATCAGCCATATATCCATATCAGCATTAGAATGCATAATAAGGTCTTCTTTCTGTTGTTGCTGAAGCAGACTGAGTAATAAATGTACATCATATTTTATAAGAATTTTGTATTCATAAGTCTTTGTCTTTTTTCAAGAGGGTCCTATGACAGTTTTGCACTTCCCATATCTCTAATAAAGAATAAAAATTTTGCATTGGAATCAGTTTGGTATGTAGAAGTTTTTTTTTTATTTTGTAGGACCTGTTTGCGATACTTCTTGCCTCCTCAGTGGATCATGGAGAAGGATACTATCACAACCATGACGCTGCAGGAACTGGCAAATTTCCCCCTAGATGATTTTTTTGATCACTACGAGAAAGGCCTGCGAAAAGTAGGATTTTTTAATACATTTTCCAAATTGAAAATTGTGGAAAATAAACAATGAATTAAAAAATTCATGAATTTAAAGGGTAGTGTGTTTGGATGAAACTGTGTCATAAAAATGAAGGATAGTTTTGAAGTTTGTTTTTTTCCCTTCTTTTTTAGTTGGTTGGAAATTTTCAAACTGAGGCAGCACAGAGAAAACAGGAGAGCGATGCGGCCGTATCCAAACTGTCATCTGTCAGGAAACTGATAGCCAAACTCCTCAAGTCAATCAATGAGGTAAGCCATTAGATAGGACGCGGGCAGTATTCTAATATACAGTCAAACTTCGTTACCTGAAACTCAATGGGACCTAGAAAAAACTTCGAGATATCCAGGGTAAAATACTTAAAGAATAAGGGGTTGGGACCTCCAAATCATTTTGACATATCCATGATATTCGAGATATCAGTATTCGGTGTTCGAGATACCGAAGTTCAACTGTATATACATTATTGTATTGTGATGCATGGTTTACAAAATGGTTATCAAAACACTCATTCCATTATGAAATATTTTTGTAATATATATTGCAGTAAGTTTATAAAAGTGAAATACATTTAAATCTTGTTATCTCGAACTGAACAGGAGCAAAATAAAACTTTGAGATATCCAAAGTTTTGAGATATTGAGTGTAAAAAAAACATTGCAAAAAACATGGTTGGGACTGCCAACTCCTTCGACATATCTCTGGTATTCATGATATCAGTGTTCAAGAAAACTAAGTTCAACTATCATGATTTCTTGTTATACATACCTTATCATGATCAGTGTATTATGAAATGTATCTCAAAATATCTTAATTATTCTAAGCTTAGATAAAAAAAATTAGAATTTTGTTAAAATGTAACTCCACCCTTTGAAAGTTGTGCTGTTGACCTCTTGGTAAAAAAATATTATCAAGTCAGTGTTATTTATAGAAAAATGGAGTATTGTCTAAAAGTAGAAGGGGGTTTGGGGTTCCTCCCCTAACAGGGGGTTGAGGGGGAAAACTAGAGTAACCAGGGATTTCATTATAGGCAGGGAAATTCCCCAGCCCCTGGGTCTAAGGGACAAGCCTGTCCTGTATGTGATTTTATGATCCTTGTTAGTAGATAATTGTATCTCGCTTTTTTTTTTTTTTTTTTTTTTTTTTAAATAATCTTCAGAAATTGTTCCGATTACCAGCAGTTCAGTAAATGAAACAAATTGAATTTATCTGATATTTTATGTGTCCCTGTTCGCAATGTCATTCTTCAAGGTAACAAGACTACGTGTGAGAATTGAGCATCAGGATATAACACTCTTGCAGTTTAACTGAGTTGGGTTAAAAATGGAATGCGATAAATTTTCTAATCTTTCCTATCTTGGAAATTTCAGCACGAATAGAAAGTAAATGCAGGAAACTTGGAAAGCATGTCCAACATCTATCAGATTTAACAGCTTAGAGACTAAGGCTCTTTGGTCTTATCAGTAAAACTTCTAATGTGAAAAAAAGCCTTTGTGAAATTTTACAGTTTATAGTCTACCATCTTATGAAAGTTGATGTTTGTTTGAATGGAAACACGTGTTTCTCATCGTGATGCTTAGGATTTCATACAAGTGCACTAAAGATGAGGGTCTTGACGTTTCTTTTTTCTATTGGTTAAAGTTATCTTGTTGCTAGAGTACCATTTTGCATGATTTGGGCAGTAAAAATACATGGAATTCAGAGAGAGAGAGGCCCTCTTCAGACAAGCCTATACATTACAGCATCAATATTCATATTATTGTCAGCATTAATAGCCAGTATCAATACACCATCTTCCAATACAGAATTAATTGGCGTACATCCCGGCTTGCAATGGCAAATTTTGCCACCTCCATACTGCAGATAATGTCGTCTGTTGCTTGCTTCATGATTGATGTGCACCCAGGGACCATTATTTTCCAAACGCAAACTCTTCCGTTAAAAGGGCCGATAGCATTTCTTTCCCATTGCCGGATAAAACTTTCCTTGTTTTTTTTTAGAAAGGGGATGTTGGATCGATTTTAAGAATATTAGTCGTTACATATTCTACTGAAAAGGGGAAGACAGCATTTTGGCGACATTAGAGAGTTTCGTTTACATGGACTGATAAGAATCTCTATTAATTGCTTGGGGTTTTTTTTTGTAATGTTCAGGAAAATTAACAGGCGTTTGCTGTATGAAATTTTTTTTCTGGTTAAATCTTCATGTGCAGTGATTACAAAGCGATACTGCTTTGAAGGTGTTCTTTTTTTTGTTTGTTTGTTTGTTTTTAAATGGGACTAACTTACCAAGGAAATAAAAATCACAAGACTAAATTCTGTGAGAAAAAATAAAGAAGAAATTATACTAAAGGTTTTTTTTTTCTCTGGATGTGGAAGTTTTTTGCCGAAATTTGAAAGAATATATGTATAATTTTGTAAACACCTTTTATTTTGAAATGTTTATCAACAGTAGCATCACTTCTATGTGTTTCATGTTTTTTTTTACATTGATGAAATGGTCTCACTAGGGAAAGAATGTTACCACAAAATTAGATAGTTTCATTATACGTACCAATACGTAGGCAGAGGATGAAAAGGTTTTGAATCAACATTTAATTTTAATTTTGAACACCTGTATTTTATTGGATGCCTTTTATTGGGTCTTTTGTATGGTCGACAAGAGACAGCTTTGAAATTTGAAGCTCTATAATACTGTTTTAGAACCCATTCTAATCCTTTGCAGAAAACTGCCAATAAAAAGTAGAAATGTGAGAATTTTCAAAAATATTTACTGTTCTTTGTTGTTTATCTTGTTAACGTCAGTTTAGATATAAATACCTATAAGCAAAAGTCATTTAGCAGTGGTCATTTAGCACATTAGTTTATTAAATTTGCTAAATGAGTGCTGAAAACTATTCCCCCCAAAATGATTTGTTAGTGAAATTCCCTAGGACTGAACAAGTTTTCTGTAATAGCGTAGAGGACAAACTTAAATCCCTCCTACATTTAGTTGAGAGTGTATTTTATATGGCATTCTGTCGGATTGCCACAAACATATTAAATGTTTTCTGGACGGATTTGGTTACCTTTAGTACAGTCACAGAATAGCTGATGTTTTACTTTGCTGACATTGTGCATATGTTCAGCGTTTTGGTCTCTTTTGCTCCGGTAACAGCATTGTCATTTTATGGTTCTTCATAATAGATTTAAATTAAAGCCCTTTAAGAGGATAAACTAGAATTCAAGGGATCATATGAAACCAGAATGTTTATTGTAGATTCATTGGACAATTTTATAGGTCCAATATGTATATGTTACAGACACTGAATCTTTATGGCCAGGTTTATTTATTTTAGACCTATTTCTTTGATGGCCTCCTAAAGAGGTCACTGGTTTCTTCTTGATATTACATAAAAGGGTAGTGGTTAAAGTATTTCCCATGCATCATTTTACATAATCTAAAAAAGTAATTGTATGCAGATCAGTTCAGAATGAACTATTTCTTGTCAGATTCTACTACATCAGCTATCATGCATATGGACTATTTTTATTTTATCTCCTAAAATAAGACTAAGAATTCTCATCTATTTACAATATATTTTTATATCTCTTGTTTTTAGAATTAAAGAAAAAGTTGACTGAATCATGAAAGTTAGACTTTGGTTGTCCTCCCCCCTAAAAAAAATCTATGCAAAAAAAAAAAAAAAAATAAATAACTCTTTCTTTTAATGATTGCCATGTACATGTATTTATTAGTTAGGCCTTAGAACTTTAAAATAATGTTTGTTTGCCCTCTTTGGACTCAGGATTAAAAAATTAATGTTGAATTTTCAAAATGTATTATCCAGAATGCATAAAAACATTGCTTCAAAAAGTTTTGAGTCAGGCCATTTTTAGCCAGTGGGTCAGGAGAGGGCAACCAAACAATTTTTTAAAGATGATTTTAGTTTTTTTGTTTGTTTTTTTTTCTTCAATTTTTTGCAAAGAAAACAAGCAGATCAAATAAATCATGTTTCAAATTGACATGGAATATATGTAGGTTTAAATAAACATTTAGAGAAGGAAAGAAAAATATGAACATTTTAAAAGGGTAGTTTGAAAAGTTGAATACCAGTATCATAAATTATAGTGCAGGCTCAGAAAGGATTTTTTTTTTCCAAAGAGATACATTTTTTTTAGAGAAATTGACAGGATCTGTGATGTACTGAACAGTACATTGTGAATGAATATGTTAAGGAAAATTATCTAGCTATTTGACAGTAAGGATTGATTTGAAACGGGGGAATGACATGCAGTTTTTCCCACCTGAGAAGTTGATCTGGCTAGATCTCCATGCTGGAGTGTTAATGTGATTGGTGACCACCCAAACGTTAAATTGATCCTCTTGTCACACTGTTACGAATATCTGTTAAAGACCCTCTTCTGGTTGTTATATATGCAAGATGCTGGGTACATTTAGTACTCCCACAGGTGTAGTCAGATCTTGTTTCCCCATAAAAAAAAGAAATATACAGAGATTGTCATCCACTGTGGTGTCAGTACGTTGAGTACGGACCTAATTGAGACGTACAGTACTGGAAGTTGTACATAAGGAAAACTGTGTGAATAAAAAAAAAAGAGATTTACAGCAGATAAAATCAACGACGTAACAGTTTGATGTGCAAAATAATGCTTGTAGTGAAGTTCTTGTGTGACTGATAAAAGTTGTGTGCATACACAAGTGTAATGTTTGCAGTGGTAATCCTAAGCCATATCATAAAGCAATACTAGTCTTTAAAAAGTTCAATAATGCTGATATTTGTACTTAGAGGATTTAACTACTTATAATATTTTTAAAAGTATCGATGATTGGTCTAATTTTATTTTCTTTTTGCAGGAATTTGATATCGATCCAGAGGCAGATGGAGACCAAGTCGATGAACTCCTTGCCGCATGTGTAAAGCAGGCCGTCCAGTCACAAACATAGGACCTCCACCTCATCAGATCCAACCCTCAAAATCTCATCAAGTAACTACTGGGCAGTTCTCTGCTGAATCCCCCTAAACAGTGACTGGGATATCCCTTTGTTGTCCTCCCTGAGTTTGGAATGCTGGGATATGATTCTCCTCTCATCTGTTGATGCTGTGATGAGAAGGTGGTTCGTTTTGAACTACTCAAACCTTTTCCATGCTTACATCACTTGCCATAAGTCATTATAAATTAAAATCCACCAAGGATCAAAATTTTCACAAAAATAATTTTTTTGTTTTTTACCATGGTGTTGCTTTGCTTCATTGTGATGGATACATAGGCTTATTTTGTCAAACATGTTTATGTAGTTCAGTTCACTGTTAGACACAAAATGTTCAATTTTTGATCAGTCAATTCACAGGTCTGTGTTGACTGATTTTTCAGTGCTTGTTAATTAGAGAATTGTTTATGGTGTCATTAAGGTATAAATAGATAATAATTAAGATTTAAAGATTTACATAAAAAAAGCCAGTCAGCTTTATTTTGTTTCATATTTTAAATGTTGTTTCACAAAGTATGAAAGATAATGCATAATACTTTGATTGGATTGTAGGATACCAAAGTGTGATTATTTTTAGTCTCCTGATCAAGGTAATTTAATGCTAAGTATTGAAGAGCACAACCAAAATAATTCAGGTTTGTTGCTGTAAAAAAGATGTTTTTCCTTATGAAAATTATTACACTTTGTTTAAAGCACAGGCTCTTAGATCATGAAACTTTCGTAAGCTGTAAAGTGTGAAAGATTTAAGAAAGTTGCAAAAAGATTCTTCAACTGGTGCCAAATTTTCATTTTGTAAAAGACAGTAATTTGAAGATTTGGCAAGATGTCCCATAGAATGTTTTTATGTCTTGTGCAGTTTTTCTCCATGTCTTAAAACATTGCTTAGATTCATGTTTCATGCATTAGTGACCCGGTTGACAATATATGCTTTTTTTTTTTTAAATCAAAATTGTTACAATCCTTTCCTTCTCCTGTAAATTTTGAGAAATCTTATGTGCGATGGTCAAAAGTCTTAAGAATATATAGGTAGAATTAAAAATGCTGACTGTGGATTTGTGCGTCATTTCCATGAATGCAACATATACAGGATTTTTCTAAGTACATATATTAAGTTTTATGGAAATATGAAAAGAGAAAATGAATCTCCAATTCAAGGGGTAGATCATTTAATCTGATCAGAGGTGTACAATAATTCACCTACCCAAAGGTCTGATGTAAGGTATGCTGAAGCCTTTCTCTTGTGTACTGGTATGTGAGACATGTTTGTAAATTTTATAACATGTATGTGTTTAAATACAGTGTGCCAGAGCTAGGAAGTTATTCCAATTCTTTAATGTGTCATGATGGAAGGTTCTACAATATGTGTGTTGGTAAATCAAGTCTTGTATGTAGTAGTACGTTATGTGTGATAATTGAATAACTTGGCTTGTAGAATTGACATACTGACAAAATCACTCGATATTCGGTAAAAGATGCCATCACATAGATAACTTCTTTAATGAAATGAAAATATACATATAAAACTTCTGTTTTATATGGTACATATATCACAGGTCATGTTCTGGCTCTACAGCATACTGTGGGTAATTTCTGCAGTTTTCTCATTTATGTGGTATTAGGCATATGAGTAAAATAAAAAATATGCAGGATCTTGTATTTTATTGAGTAGAATCATGAAAAATGAGAAAGAAACAAATTTCAAAAAGCTTGGAACTGAAGAAATTACCCATTATATATTACTTTTCTTTTAACTTTTGATTCAGTCTAATCCAATCATAAGCACGGAGTACAAAATATGGTGGAACAGATATTCTCTGATGTCCTAAATTATAGAGAGAGTCATTTTTTAATTTGTTTTATTTGTAGGTTTGTGTATATGCATTTTTTAGTGTTTTGCTTTTTTAAGTAAAAATCCCAACTCACTCTCAGGTTGCTATTTCATATTTTATAAATTACTTGTGTTTATTTATAATTATGATTCAAATTGACGTGGTTGTCTTTGCAACAGTGCAGATTAAAAAGTTGGAGGGAAAATAGCAAATAAGTTAACAATTCCAAGGTCGGTATTTTAATATAGGTAATTTTATTTTGGTTTTTAATTTAGAGAAAAGTAAAAGATAAAAATAAGTACAAGTGTATTGTTTTGTACTTTAAATTTTTTTTTTTTAATTGATCAAACTACACTGCGTATAATTTATATGGTCAGAATATTTATAGTTAAGGTTGTGAACTACAAGTTAAGATTTTTTAAGAATATTGTAAACAAGGGTCACAAGAGTAAAGTTAGAATTTCTTGTGATTTACCATCCTTTTCTTAAAGAGTGTTGGAGCTTTGACAATTTCAATCATTGAGAATATCATTTCACATCGCAAAACACCCGTGTACTTGTAAATACGTGTTTTATCAGGTCACAAGAATGGCATTGTTTATATCACGAGACCAATGAGTTTGAATGATATGTGTGAGCGCAAAAGTCTGTACATACTAGAATAAGGTTGTATATAATACATGTAGATTGTGAACTTGCGATATAAATATAACTTGTCATTTTAAAGAAATGAAACAATAAAACCTTTCTCAAATCGAATTGTCTAATTTTGAATTAATTTAGGTTTACATCCAGAAACAAACTAATTTTACTGTAGTTTAATTGTACAATAATAAAGGGATACTTTTAGCAGTAGAAGTTTTTTAGGTTGCCTAGCTGTTTTGTATTGTTGGTCTTTCGTTAACATGGAAACATTTTCAGCTTCTTCTCTGAGACCACTCAACAAAGTTCAACTAATTTTGGTATATAGCATTTATGGACAAATGGGAACAGAAATTTTTAATTTTATGATCTCCACATACCTGGGTCCTGAGGGGTGGGGCCAAAACAATCAATTAATGGAATCTTAAAAAATCTTTACTCCTGGACATCAAGCAGTCAAAACTGTTGGCTTTGAGCCCTCTATCAAAATTTTTGAATTCATGACCCCAGGGTCAGAGTTCTGGTGTTAGGGTGATGCTCTATTGATCTTGTAGTTAAATGCATAAATTCTTTAAAAATCTCCTCTTGCCCTGCATATTTAGCAGACTATGTGACTAGTTATGATGAGAAAGAGTGCCTCTTCGAAAATTTGAAATTCCTGGCCCCTGGTTCAGGTTCTGGTGTTAGGTCTCTATTGATTATTTGGTAGAAATGCATTAATTCTTTAATAATTCTCTCTGCTTCTAAATATTAAATAGACAAACTAAGTGCATTGTTATGAGTAAGGGTTCCTTTTCCAAAATTGTAAAATTCATGGCCCAGGGTCAGGGTTTCTTTGTTAAGGCAGACCTGTATTGAATATATATTGAAAGTGTGCATGCATTGATTCTTTAAAATCTTCTCTCCTCTTGGATATTAAGCAGACAAACTAAGTGCATTGTTTAAATGAGTAAGGATGCCTCTTTTAAAATTTTGAAATTCATGGCCCCCAGAGTCTGGGCTCTGGTGTTATAGTAGGACTCTATTGATTAGATAATTTAAATGTATTCACTCTTTGACATTCTTTTCTGCTTCCGGATATTAAACAAACAAACAAAGTCATAATTAAGATGAATAAGGGTGCCTCTCCCAAAATAATGAAATTCATGGCCCCAGGGTCGGGCGTTCTGGTGTTGGGGCAAAGCTCTATTGATTTCATAGTAAAAATTCATGAATTCTTTGAAAATCTTTTCTTGTCCTGGGTACTAAGCAGACAAACTAAGTGCATAGTTATGACAAGTAAAGGTGCCTCTTCCAAATTTGTGAAATTCATGACCTTTGGGTCATGGGTTCTGGTGTTAGGATAGGGCTCTATTAATTATATGCTGAAGATGCATAAATTCTTTGAAAATTTGTATTAAGCAGAGAAACGAAGTGCATGGTTATGATTAGTAAGGGTGCCTCTTCCTAAATTATGAAATTTATTGCCCGTGGGTTCTGGTGTTGGGATGAGGCGTTTGAGTAGATATTGAAAACACATTAATTCTTTAAAATTCTCTGCTCCTGGGTATTTAGCAGACAAAGTGCATGGTTATGATGAATAAGGGTGCATCTTCCAAAATTGTGAAATTCATAATCCTTGGTCAGAGATTAAAGGTGCTTAGACACAGATTTGAGCCTAATATTTTCTAAAATTTTCTGTATAATATCACGACCTATATATTGCAACAGCATTTCACACGAAAATGTAATTAAAAACTTATTTTATCTGGAAATTATTGGAACTACGAATTCCGGGATGCGTTTGATTAACACATCTTTGCACCTACACAAATTTTAACTTTATCCTTAATATTTAAGAAAAGAAGCGATTTTGTTATGTATTAATGAAAAATATTACATCTATAATCCAGAAAATTCAGAGTAGAAATGTTCGAAAGCAAAACCAACTCACCAGTATTGTCAGTCCGTGCTCTGTGATGTGTACAGAGTTTAAGAAATTGAACACACCCGTGAAATTAACCTGTTTTTTGTAAACAGGGCACGAGCTCTGTTATTTGTTTACGATTCACCGGGTGTGTTCAATTGTTAAACTCTTCACACACCACTGAGCACGGACTTACAATACTGTGAGTGGGTTTTGCTTTCGAACATTTCTACTCTGAATTTTCTGGGTTATAGTTTAAATATTTTTCATTAATACACAACAAAATTGCAACTTTTCTTAAGTATTAAGAATAAAATTAAAATTTGTGAAAGTGCAAGGATGTGTCAATCCAACGCGTCCAGAAATTCGAAGATTTAATAACTTCGAGATGAAATAAGATTTTTTATTATATTTTAGTATGAAATGCTATAGCAACATATAAGTCATGAAATTATGCAGAAAAATTTGAGAAAATATTAACTTCAAATCTGTGTCCAAGCACCTTTAAGGTGTTAGGCCAGGGCTCCATTGAATCTTTAGTGAAAATTCATTAATTCTTTAAAAATGTTCTCCTGGACATCCAGAAGGCCAAAAAAGGTAATTAGCAAGGTTTTTTTAACACTCTTACCCGCCCCCTTTTTTTTCCAAAGAAGACGCATCTCTCTGTTCAAGATTGTACTGAAACAGTTGTTCTCTCTTATGGACGAAGAAACTCCAGGTTTAAACAAAAAGTAATTGAAAAAGATTAAAATTCAATTATCATAAAGTGAGTCAAAAATATTAGTACCCAAAGAAAGGTTTTGTTACAAGGAATACACGTGCGAAATATGAAAGCCCTAGCACCTACTATACAGAAATCATGGCTAAGGTTAAAACTTGTCAAAAGTATGTCATACTTCAAGGTCAAGATCATGAGGTAAAAAAAAATATTGGTACCAAAAAAAGTGAAATATGAAAGCCCTAGAACCAACATTCAAAAGTAATGGCCAAGGTTAAAGTTTCTCTCAAAAGTAGCTCTAACTCCAAGGTCTAGGTCAAACTCCAAGGTCAAGGTAAAAAATGTTGGTACCCAAAGAAAGGTCTGTTCACATGGAATAAACTTGTGAAATATCAATCAAAGCCCTAGCACCAACTGTTCAAAAGTTATGACCAACGTTTTTTTTTTGTTTTGTTTTTTTTTTCCAGAAAAACAGACCAGTAATAAATAAATAAATACATGTAAATAATAGATAAAAATACATGTATAATAAATAAAAAAAAATTTTTATTTAAATAAAGTAATGCACTTCACAAAAATTCCTAGCAAGTTCGGAAACACCTTGTCACAGATAATGCACATGTCAAATATAAAAACCCGACCTCTTCTCGATCAAAAGTTATAAGAAAAGATAATTTTTTTAAAAGTAGGTCAAACTCTAAAGTAAAGGTCACGGGGTCAAAATTCATAGTATATTTGGAAAGTTCTTGTCACGGGTAATATACATGTGTAACATGAAAACATTATTTTTTCTCATTCAAAAGTTATGACCAATTTAAACAATTTTAATGTTAAAACTTTTGAAAAGTAGGTCAAACTTCAAGGTCAAGGTCACGGGGTCAAAAATCATAGTTTATTATGGAAAGTCTTGTCACGGGTAATGTACATGTGAAATATGAAAGCCCTATCTCTTCTCATTCAAAAGTTATGACCGAGGTTAATGTTTTTGTGACAGACAGACGGACAGACAGATGATTGAGATTTAATGTCCCCTCGCTTTCGCGAAAGCGAAGAACAAAAAAGGTGTGTCGGTGTGTTAGATACACGGTAAGTTAAGATTAAAATTAGAGTAAGTCAAATTAATCGAGATAAGAAAAGTAATACGCAGACAGAAAAGGCGAAAGAGTATCAACTACTCCCCACAATTTTTCTGCATCAGATTTTTCCCCACCGAAAGCAGGGACATTAAATCTCATTCGTCTGTCAATCTGTCAGTCTGTGAGTGTCTGTCATAAAAATTTTAACTTTGGTTACATCTTTTGAATGTGAAAAGATAAGGCTCTCATATATTTCACATGTACATTAATTGTGACAAGACCTTTCCAATTACTGTACTATATTTTTTTATCACATGACCTTGAACTTGAAGTTTGACCTACTTTTCAAAAAAAAATTAAACATTACGTTAACCTTAGTCATAACTTTTAAATGAGAAGACTTTCATATTTCACACATACATTAACTGTGATAAGACCTTTTTAAATATACTATGATTTTTGACTCCGTGACTTGACCTTGTAATTTGACCTACTTTTCATAAATTTTCAATTATAACCTTTGAATAAGAGAAGACGGGACATTCATATTTGACCATCCTCACAATGTCAAGGTTTTGTGATTTCGGAACTCCATATTGTGGAGTTCCGAAATCACAGAGCCTTGACATTGCGAGGGTGATATTTGACATCTGCATTACCTGTTTCAAGATCTTTCCAATGTATTCTAATTTTGACCTCGTTTAACCTTCAGTCTTTTTCATTTTTTTTTTTACATTGGTAATAACTTTTGAATGAGAGAAGATAGGTCTTTTATATTTCACATGTACAATGTATATTACCTATGGCAACACCTTTCAGAAAGAACTATCATTTTTGACTACAAGACCTTGACCTAGAAGTTTGACCTACTTATCAAAAATTTAACTTTAGCCCTTACTTTGGCTTCAGAAGATACAGGGCTTTCGTATTTTTTTTCACATGTGCATCACTTGTGGCAAGACCTTTCGGATTATATGTTGGCCTTGATTTGAAGTTTGGCACAATTTTGAGAAGCTTTAACCTTTGCCGTAACTTTTATTGATTAAGGTAGCACTAAACACCCATGAAATCT